ATTCCATTTTTCTTATCCATCCTAATTTAAATTCCTTTTCTGTCCTAAAAATCTAGAAAAAAAAGTCCTAAAAAAATCCTAATTTAAAGAAAAATTCTAATTCTTTCAAAAGTGTTGCAGAGGTTTTAAAGATATAAATTATTTTTTATTTTTATTTATTCCATTTTTTTTTATTTATCACAATTTAAATTTTCTCCCCGTACTAAAAATCCTGAGAAAAAATATCAAAAAAATCCTGATTTAAAAGAATTATTTTAATTCCTTTAAAATTATTTTAAAAATTTTTAGAGATATAAACAATGAATATCACCCCTGGCTAGGAGACTGGAAGAAGACGAGAGCCTGAAATCGTCTATGCATTAACATATGCTGTTTGTTTGGCACTGCTGGCCCATCCGCCATGGAGAGGAACACAGTCGAATTTTGATAATTAATGAAAACAATGAAAGTGCTACTTTTTTTAAAAAAGATCTGAGAACCGGTATGACTTCCCAAGCGATATAACCATTCGTTCATTCGTTTCGATGGTAAATTGGTACTGGCATATACCAACGAGTCAAAACCATCAGTCAGCTTGCTTCTCAACAACCCGCAGGACAGGGAGAGGAGCCGAAGGGCAGTAATTGCCTGGCTTGGGGATATTGCTATTGTATTCCCACTTTGCCTACTTAAGAATCATCGTTTTTTTTTTTTTTTTTTTCAAAAACAAAAGACGAAAAATTCACTCTAACAAGAAGAGTTAAGAGAAATTAATATTTTAAAACACAAGGAACAACATAAAATAACGCATAATTCCTAATTATAACGCATAATTTCTAATTTTATGCATAATTTCTAGTTTTAACGCATAATTTCTAATTTTAACGCATAATTTCAACGCATAATTCCAACGCGTCAAAGCACAACTTCTAATTTTATATGCATTGGCGCAAACAATTGCCATTAACTAGAGGTATGCAGCTTAGAATCGAAGAACCTGGCACAGCTGTCAACGCCAAATGAGAATTTCACTAAAACGAGATTCCTACTTTGGCTATCCGAACGGTTTTGATATTCTTAGTAATTTTAATAAAAATCTAAAACAATCTTAAAATCCAAAAATCTCGCGCAATAAAAAAGTACAACCTCTCTGAAGCATTGGCTTAAAGCGTAGCGTAAGCGGGAATGGAACACGCGTTGTTACAAAACCACTGAATGTCCAGTTGATCCAACCACCGATTACGATCATCGGAAGAACGTTCAATAAATTACCCTTAAACAGAGAACATCGACATCAAAATATCATAGTTCCTTATTTTTGCATTTAAAAAAAAAATTGGCAAACTTCGCTTTTTCATTTCCCATAAAATGCATCAAAAAATCAGATTACTAGTGACATGCCATCAGAGTTCATTAATGGCAGCTGACCC